AAGAGTTTTATTTGCACCCCGCAACTGTTAGACGAAACGATCGATCTGCTCAAAGTGTGGTAAGTGGAATAATCTTATGCAATTTAGTCATTGAGATAATAAATAAGTGGACATTAAAAAATATGGTACAGACATTAAAATGAGAATTGTTACTGAAAACATTAAAAGTGATCATACAGCACTCTTCTATGGTGCCACTTTATATGGTTAAGTAATTCACAGTCAGAGGCAACTGTGATTTGAATATCTGATTTGCGAAACAGCCATTGATTTTCGACGTTACTTCAAATGTTAAGTCATTTGTGAAAATAGCTCTATCTTGAAACTATGAAGTGAAACCTATATGAAGTCTAGATTTTTGTGATAAAGGGAAAGCTCATAGATGTTCTCCAAGCTGTTGGACTAAATTTAGTTCACAAGGATCTGTGAGGTAAAATATATTTGTACAGATACCGAGAGAGGCTGGAAAATGTGTTTACTGCCTTTACAGTTGTTAATATCAACTGATATATCTATTCCCTATATTCTTAGGTCCGTACCATGAACAAAACATCTAGAGTTATCATCCCCACATTTTAGATTCATTTGAATAGAGTAGAATGCTAATGGTCTAACCCGAGCTGGAATTCATAAAATTGAGCAATGTAGCACAACATATAGTAAATGAAAATTTACTTTCTGAAATGAGAACCCTTGACAAAGTACCATTTTTATCTTCTTGTAGTGATTTTGTTTTGAGTTGAACTATCAAATCTTCTCCTTTCATGTGAAAGCTGTTAATCCTTACTAATGATCATTTCATTTGGGTAAAATCAGGATGAATGGACTGGTGAGCAGAAACTGCAGTATGCTGATGTTCCAGCGGACATTGAACCTGAAGAAATTCGGCCCATGGGAAATTATGCTGTATCGATAACCTGGGCAGATGGATTTAGCCAGGTACGTTAATCTAATTTGACAACACGAAGTATCAGAAATTTGGTTATTGCAACTAATTTGTGGTACAAAACAAAATCATCTCTACGGTAACTTAAAAACACAGAATTATGCGTGTTGGACACAGTTAAATGCAGGCGGATGAATAAGTAGAGCGAGAGCAGTGCTTATCCATCCTTGATATTTGTTATGAGCATGATGAGCTTTTGCCTCAGGTTCAACTAAATGGGAGCTCGGAGCAAACTTCAGTATTCCACTTTGTGCTGATGATATTTTCATGTGTTGTTTTTATTGTAGATTGCTCCTTATGACCAGCTGCAAACAATGGAACGCTTAGTTGATGTTCCACAATTGATCTGAACCGCAAATTGGCTGTTTTGAGGTTATAGCATAGATGCTGAAAGGACCACACGATCAATTTGTACCTTGTGGTCAGTTGTATTCACGAGAAGATGGAGATTATGTTTAAAATGAATATAGGATTCTAAAGATACTTTGATTGCTTCAATTCTACATTTCAAGTAATTAAATTTCTTCACTGTGTATAGCACTTGGTATGGTTAGTGTCAAACAGTACTCTTATCGACCACTCTATAAATAAGTAGGTGCAAGTGTCAATGGCAAAGCAAAATTAGTGTGCAAAACATAGCCATGCTTCTAAAATGCCAATTGACTCATCACTTACTGACTTACTCCTTTCTCAAGCTCGTGCAGAACGCATTTGGTTTGTTCTTCTGAAAAAATATTTTTCAAACTAAAAAAATTGAGATATACATTTGATTTGAAATTTTAATAAATTGTTGAAATTGTAAAATAGAATAATTTTATGTTAATATATTATCAAGATT